GGTCCTACTAAAAAAATTATGTTCCCATAAGTCTTGTGGGAAGTTTGTTGACACATTTACCCTCAATATTAGTTGTTAATATCATAAATACTAGTAAAATCATATATAGGAAATTGAATGTTACTATAACATATCTATATAAACGTAACATAATGTGACACATCTATGATAACATGCAATTTCCTAAGAAATTGCATGTTACTATAGATTTACCATAGATCATTTCTACAAAAACGTAACGTAATGTGACACATACATAAACGTAACATGACACCTATGATCTATGGCAACATTCAATTCAATTTCCTATATAGGAAATTTAATGTTGCCATAGATCATATTTACATAAATGTAATGTAATGTGACACCTATGATCTATGGCAATCATATTTATATGAAACGTAACATGATACCAACATAAACCAGCAACATTTTCACATACAATTTAAAAAAATAAAAACTCATTAAGTTTGCGAAACGTAACATGACACGTTACGTTACGTTTATGTGGGTGTCACGTTACGTATAGATGTCACGTTACGTTTATATAGGTGTCACGTTACGTTACGTTTATGTAAGTGTCACGTCACGTTTGTTGGAAATGGTTATAAAATTCTGGATAAAACCAGAATTTTTTCCTAAGTTCGGTCTATTTTTTAGGTGGGCCCCGAGTGTCGATTTACTCGGGTCAAAGTGGTAACGCGTTCTATGCCGCGTTGTGATTCACGTGGGTTTCATACCTGTTCATTTCAAAACCAAGAGTCACCTTTACATCTATAAATAGACTAGCCTCCCTTTTGGATTTAATTCCCATTTTCGTACTTCATCCTCTGCTAATTATATTCTTCATCTTGCTGCATTTTATTTTCCGAAAGAAATAGTGTAAACACTTAGTGTGTTCGTAAGGCAAACAATTTGTAGTGCTGCTATTGTTTGTGGTAAGATCATTTCATCTTGGGAGATAGACGTCCAAATTCTGAAAGCACCGTGGAGAGGACGAATCTGTCTTAAGGACACAGTGTCAAACACTGGACTTGATCAGAAAAATAATTCAAAGAAATTAAATCAAGTAAGTTATTTAATTTACTTTCAGTGTTGTTTTTATTTGTTTATTTAATCAGATTTTGTTTTTGTTTTTGTAACAAAATAAAATCTGTGGTTTTATTTATTTATATATTTTTATTTCAAGTTTGATTTTTGTAATCAAACAAATTCTCTCTTTTTCTCTATTTCTTTTATTCTTGTTGTTGTTTTGTACACAACAGAATTTAATCTTTTTAAATACAGTGAAGATTTTCCAACAACGTTACGTTTATATAAGTGTCACGTCACGTCACGTTACGTTTATGTAAAATCTTGTGGAATACATTCCTATCTAAATAGGACCTGAGACTCTATAAGAAATTACACAGAACTTATCTTACCATAAGTGTCTAAAAAAGACTTATAAATAAGTCTCTCAAAAAGTTAAACAACTTCATTATTAACGTTTTCAATACAACTAAGAAAAATTATTTTCAAACACATTAACTTTTTTTTTCACTTTATCAAAAATTATAAAATTATTAAACAAGTCAATTCTTAAAGGAGACCTCATTGGCATAATATATATTTTTTTATTATTTTGTTATGACAAATGCAGTATCAGGACGGATTTGTAAAGGTGTGTTTAATGTCATATTAATTTGTATTGATTTTAGTTATTCCTAACTAAAGTATACTCATTACATTATTAATTATTTAACTATTTTGGTGTCCTATAAAAAAAAAAAAAAAAAAAAAACTACTACTTTATTGAGTTTTGATTTTCATTATAATCACTTTATAATTAATGCATTGTATTTCTAGTGTGATTATTTATAATTTTAATCCTTTTAAGATCATTGATTATAATCAATTATTATTGATTATAACTTAACAAGCACGTTAGGTGCACTTGTTAGTATGATTCTTTGTTTTTGAGTCTTGTTACGGACAAATCGTTTTCTATAACTTACTGAAAATAGGAATGGAGGCCACATATCATCGTGGTGTGGGTTCCATAGCCCTTGTGAGTAAAAAGTAAAAAAATTAAAAAGAAAAATCTTTTATATTATTTATTTATTTATTATATTATGTGTCAATACTGTATTAATAATAAATATAAATTATGAAATTTATTAAAATAATACAATATTAATACATGAAAAAATAAAGAAAATACAATAATATTTTCTTATTTTAAAAAATTTTAACCAGTACCCGACATTAGCCAATTAGTAAACGCGAGGAATTTTAATAAACTTGGTAAAATATTTTGAAGAAAATTTTGGCCCCTTTCACAATCGTTGGTAAACTTGGTAACAATTTTGTCCAGAAATCTCTAAAGTTTGGCATCTTCTATTGATTAGGGGTAGTGCTAAAAATGCAATTTTTAAGATATTTTTTAGAGAAAATCATGGTAGTTGAATATCGTAATCACAAAAATAAAATAGAATTATGAAAGGCTCAAAAACAACAATATGACTTTGCACCCGTCTAATTACAAACATTTAAGTGTTTGCTTTGTGTTTACAATTTTTTAAAAAATAGCAATATATTTTCTTATTACTAAAAAACATAATACATAACTTTTCTGTAATTCATGGAAAGATCAACAGGTGCATCCAATTACTAATTTTGAGACCATTAAATTGTTAATAAACACATTATTTATAAAATTAATTAATAAATATAAGCTGGAGTTCAAGTTGTGGACCATAAATAAGTAATTCAAAGGTAGGTTGGGGTTAGTTGCCAGTCAATTTTCTATATTAATGGCCAAGTTGAGCTTGATCTTCTTCTGCATGACAATGACAATTTTGTGACTAGAAATAGAAAAATTTATAAATAATTTAAGATGTGTCTGAATTGGGGTCATACACTTCAAAATAAAAATACACATCAAAATAATTTTTGATTACAAAAGTGTCATCACATATCAATATTTATTTATTAATTTTAGATTATAATTTTCCTAAGTTTGTGAATTCATTTGCAAGCCCTCTAACCTAGAAATTGGAAATGTAAGTGTTAATGTATATATGGTATATATTCTTAGATATATTACGTATTGATTTCCTAGATATATTTAGGTTTATAGTAGAATACTCTTTCTCAGCCTATATATACAAGCCTTCTATTGTATAAGATTAATTCATTCAACACAATTTATTGAATACAATACATATTATTTCCCTCTCTCTCTCTCTCTCTCTCTCTCTCTCTCTCTATTATCATAATATAGTATCAGAGCTAGGTTAAGAACTTAGTAATTTTGCTTCACCGGCGGGCGGTAGCCTCACCTTGGCCGCCCGCCGGACCTCAACCTATTCTGCTGTCATGTTTTCCTTTTAGTATCGCTTCATGGTGATCTCTTCCTCTATCCACTAGTTTATTCCTACCCCAAATATCTCTATCATATATATATATATATATATATATTTTACTTGTATTACTTTTTTTTTCTCCACTCTATCTTTCCCTCTACTTCAACTTCAAATTAGTTTTTATCTTCAAACCTATTTGAGTTTGAGGGGAGTATTATACCTATATCATGATGAACATAGTTATACACCATGCAAACCACCTAACCGCTTCCTTTGGCGCACAATTCAAGCCTCACTCTCTGGCGCATAACCTAACCTGCCCCTTTCTGGCGCACAATCCAAGCCGCTTCTTCTGGCGCACCACCAAACTCGCCCATTGGCGCACCATCCAAATCGCCTCCTGGCACATTCAATCATCTGTTGCCATTATCATTCAGTACCACGTCATAAGTTATGTGTGTGTCACGTTTGCTGGTTCAACATCCAGTTTCTACAACGGTCCGACATGACTCCGTAAACTGTCTTGGCATTAGTTCCATCCAGTTCCTACAATAGTCCGATACGACCATAAACTGTCTCTCGGCATTAATTCTAACCAGTTTCTATATCGGTCCGGCACGATCTTAAATTGTCCTGGCATTAGTTTCAGCCAGTTCCTACAATGGTCCGACATGATCATAAACTGTCTCCCAGCTTTAGTTCTGGTCTCTAATCTATTTCAAGCGCCCTTACGCTCCCGTTCGGACTTTGCAATCTATTTGCCTTTTATTTTATTTAATTTTATTTCATATTTTAATTTCTTTCTCCAAACTCAAGATGTTTATACTCTTTGCGTTTGTGGGGGGATGTTAATGTATATACGGTATATATTCTTAGATATATTAGGTATTAATTTTCTAGATAGGCCTGTATATATAGGCCTTCTGTTATATAGGATTAATTCATTCAACACAATTCATTCAATACAATACATATTATTTCCTCTCTCTCTCTATTAGTCTAATAGTAAGAAAAATCAATGAAATTGAATACGATCTATTTTGATTTTGAAGAATTTTACATTAACACCGACAAATATATATATTATATTCAAATGCTTTTTATATCTTGATTTTTTTAATATTAAAAGATAAGTGATCATTGCTAATAAAAGTTGAGGAAAACATTTATAGAGCAATCTCCACCCTCTCCCGTTTATTTAAATGTAGAATTCTATAGATTTTAAAAAATTCTTAAAGCTTTCTTGCAATCCTTTATTTGCACTTAGCTAAAAAATCGACAAAAGCAAATAGTATGTGATCGGTTTCAGTTCATCAACTAACAAAATTGAAAAACTTAATTTTGTGCTAAATTTTATCTCGGTCTTAACTAAACGGGTTACACCTTTAGGTGCAAGTCTAGCAAGTTTTGGAATTGCTATGATCTACGAGGTTTACAGGCTTTGACTGTAGTCTAAGTGGTCATGAGAGGGCACTTAGATGTTAGTAAAATAAGATTTTTAAGTTCAAGTCAATAAAATAATGTATATTAATCTAACTCTACTAAACATCTTACCGTGTGGTAAAATATATATATATATATACATTCATGCAAGACTCCATGCTTGGGTTTGAGGGCCCAATAAAATCTTGGGCTAATTAGGCCTTTTTCCCATTAAAACAATCATTAATGGGCTCACTGACAGCCCAAATATCGACGGCTAACTGGAGAGAGACATGTTATTCTTACCATCACCAACAAGCTACCTCACTGTCACCGTTCCTCTGTAACTCTATCCAATCCACCTATCATCCCCTGAATCCCCAAAACAAATGGCGTTCCTCACCGGACGATCGTCCTCTCTGGTTGGCCTCTACCATCACCACCGTCCAATTCTCTCAATCACACGGCAATCAAATCTCAACACCACCACTGCTAGTCGGTGGTGGTGGTTCAGCACCACCGGCACCGAGTCGATTCCGAGTGAACTCGCCGGAAAAAAACGCATACGATCTCTTAGGGGTTTCCGAAACAAGCTCGTTCGCCGAAATCAAAGCTTCGTTCCGAAGATTGGCCAAAGAAACTCACCCTGACCTCACTCAATCGCTGGACCATTCCTCTGATTCCCATCGATTCGTTCAAATCCTCGCTGCTTATGAGGTATATTGTCAATTGTGTTGTGCTGATCGGTCTTTATTCAATCAACATTTCTAAAAATTCATTTTATATTTAGCTTTGTTTTGATGTTTTGAATTTGTCTTTGTTCTTACAGAAATTGTTTACAATTGCAAATTATGGCGTGAGAGAATTAAATTCAATGTTTTGAATTTGTGTGCATCGCATTGTGCATGGCGGCAATGTCTAGTGCCATAGTATGCTGAAAATAGTATATAAAATGCAATGTTGCCGTTCTACATAAACATAACGCAATAGTGTACACACAATATTCCAGCATATTCTGGAACCCAGAAATAACTGTTGCTCTCAATGTAAAGGGAAGTTCTGACTTAGTAGTGAACAATGAAATGCAGATACTATCAGATTCTGAGAAGAGGACCCATTATGACAGGTACCTGTTATCTCAGAGAATGCGCGTTCACAGATGTTCTGAGCAAGTTTCAGTAATGTACACATATGAATCACACAGAACAACAATGAAAGAAATGGAAGTTGTTGAATGGTTAAAATGGTATAGGTTTGCTTTAAATGATATTTTGTCAGAGAAAAGAATTGTAGTTTGGTCAGGGTACTTTGATCTCCTCCCTGACTGTTTTGAAGCCGAGGAGAGGTCTGCCTTTGAAACTCCTGAAGTGCTGCACTTGGTTTCAGGGCGTGACCTTTTTGGAATGATATCCCTAGCTGATAAGGTTCCTGAATTATCTCAGTCCTACAATGAAAAACTGTCATCTTTTGCCTCTAGAGGGTCAGGGTTGTGCCAAGCCATAGAGAATATAAGCAGACAAACCAATTCTGGTTCAGATGATATTGGAATTCATCGGATGCAAGCAACAGAGATTGATTACATATAAAGATCTAGAATTGCATGCGTCGGGAAAGGTGGTTGCTTTGGCAACCAGAGTCCCACCTAAAAGCTATTGCAATGGGATAAGAAATGCAGATTCTCAGGATCACATACATGTATATCTTAGTTCACATGAATTTACACAATCTTGTTGTGCTAATTTACTCTAACCAGCAAGCATATGGAGACCAGAATGGATATTCATTTGAAATATTCATTTAAAAGAGTGAATGCAAGTTTAAATTAGGTGGAATTTCTCTAGTTATTTGTATTTGAAATCTCGACAGGAAAATGTCAGGAAAAGCATTTGAGTTGACTAAGGCCTTGTTTGGTAGAACTGTGGAAAAGTGCTTATAGCTTATGCCTTAACATGTTATACCTTATAGTTATGAACATAAGCTGATTTCTGACTTATAAATTAAGTATCTCCTGCCCCACTCAAAGAAATAAGCTGATTTCTGACTTATAAAAAACTATAAGCTGCATTGTTAAACTAAATCAAATACATCAAACTAGCTTAAATTAAGTTGAAAGGTGAAATAAGCAGCTTTTAAGCTGCACCAAACAGGCACTAAGCTTAATATGGCATGTTTTGAGAATCAAAAAAGGCTGTCAAGGGGCTGCAACTAGTAACTTGTGAAAACTGAAGTTGCATATTCTTTTTGTCATTATTATTGAGGTATGTGTTGCTAGGTTTCAATACTCTATTGCCGTTTAAGTATATGCATAAAAAATTGAAGAAGAAAATAAAAAAAGAAAATGTTAAGTAGATTTCTCATGCTTCACCCTAGGCTAATACATCACCCTAAGCTTCAATACTCTATTGCCGTTTAAGTATATGCATTAAAAATTGAAGAAGAAAATAAAAAAAAGAAAATGTTAAGTAGATTTGTCATGCTTCACCCTAGGCTAATACATCACATGACAAAATCTCAAATTTCCTAAAGGCCAACACTATGAGTTAAATGAGTAAATAAATATTTATTGGTCTTTTCCCATTTCTACGAGAAATAGATTTCCAAAATAAGAATTATTGACAATTCAACCATTTCATACTTAGAAAGAAAATACAACAACCTAATAACATGAATATGCCTAAAATAAAAACCGTATACCACTGCTACCACCCATGTCCGGTGAATCCAGAAATTACCATTATACCTTTGACAACTAAGATATAAAACATGACCAGAGTCAACCTAAAATGACAGCAAAACAGTACTTGAATCAACCTAACACTTTATTACCCAAGGACTCAAGTAAGTGCTGAATGAAATTCCAAAAATTCTCACTTTCCCACCCGGTGCATGTTCTGCATCAACGAGCCAATCTGCCCTCACATGTTCATGAAAGACATATGCCTTTGGTTTCATCCGTCTAAAATAATTTTGATTGTCAATGTACATGTTTAACTTGCTATCATAAGCACATATCTTCAACGCCACAAAATAAATGGCAAGCCGCTATTACACAACCACAACAAAGAAAAATTATAATGAAACCATAAATGAGGACCTAAAATAGTTATTATATGGTTCAAGAGCTAAAAAAAGTTAATTTGAAAAGCTATATTTTGCACTTGATCTAACACAATAAGGACATCAGAGTAAAATAATTACCTAACTATGTACATCACCACAAACACTGAAATGCTTTCCATCTGGAATATTTATATCAACAAGGGATGGCAATGCGCACAGCATTTCTCTTGTTTGTAAGACAATCTGGAAGGCATATCTATAACATGAACACAAATATTTAGAGAGAAAACAACAAAACAGTAACAAGTCAATAATCTTTTTTTAAATTTTTTATTTTTGATAAATCACAGTAACAAGTCAATAATCAGAACAATAACACCATTACAGTTGAATTTTATACATACCGTTTGTGTAAAAACTTCTGATTCCTGAAGTCATCCATCATTTTCTTCAGAAAATTTAAAGTTACAACATCTCCCTCTATTCTTGCACTATTATACTATGGCTCCATCTCTATAGTTAAAAAGAACATAATTAATTTCTAGGCAATAAAAGTAACTACTTATATTATTGTGTGGGGGAGTGGTTCTGGAAATACTCTTTGGATTCAATGGGGCACTCGAGATGCTCAACTAGTAACCTGAAAAAGAATGAACACTCCGGTCGAGGGTGCCGGAATTAGCACTCTGACGGATAAGTTAGTATATACTCTCTCGATTGCTTGTATCTTAAGTTAAGCGTACTAGTTCTCACATACCTCTTTTTTGACTGTTGTTTTTTTATTTATACTTGCTCCCTGGGTCTCAGGGTCTGGCCCACTTAAACATCCACCTTGTGGATGTTTATTCGGCTTCTTGCTTAACTAGTTCTATGGCCGATTGGTAAATTCGGCTTCCGGATGAGGCATGATGGGTCCGAATAAGATGTTCGTATAATAAGCTTCCAAGTATCTATTTGGCCCCCCCTCTGCAATCGTAAATACTCGGCTCCCACATATCGTGTTTTATTTTTTCTTTTCCTTTTCCTTTTCCTTTTTTTCTAAAATACAGGCAGCTTTTTTAATCAGCAACAAAAGTTTATATCTACTAATCTATAAAGGGAGAGCACCAATTGGTGTTTTCTTTTTTTTGACATTATGTAAATTTTTCCAATGACAAGTTTAGCCCAACAACACAAAATCTGTTTTACCTGGTTTACTGGAGTTCTAGCTTTGCTGATTTTGAAGGGGGGAAAAGGAAAAACTCAATGTCCATGTTGTACACAAAATGTACAAAGGAAGTAAACAAAATACAAGGGTTACATATTTTTTTTAAAAAAAAGTTAAGGAAAAATCACAAGACAAACAATACCTATCTGTGGGGATATATTTTCTGAGTACCAACACGTGGCAAGGTGACGCCGACGTGTCAGCCGAGGTGCCACGTGTCTCGGTTGTTGTGCCGAGGTCATCTCGGCTAGGCCGAGGTTGCCTCCGAAGATATCGGAATCCGAGATAAGCGGATAAGGGATAAGAGTCCTAGAATGAAGAGGGAACTCAACTTGGATATGGACGAGAGTCCTAGATTGGGAGAAGACTTCAGTTTGGATAAAGATAAGACTCTTAGAGAGTTTATCCTAATCCCACTGGGAGTCCCAGATTAGCAGTAATTCTAAGTCCATTAGGGCTAGGCTCCTTTTGGGACTAGGATTGGATTGGCTATAAAAGAGAGGCACCCCCATGGGTCTAAGGTATGCTTTTGATACTCAAGCTTGTGAGTTTAGTATTTGATTTATCTTTGAGAGATATACTGACTTGATCGTCGGAGTGCCCCCGGGTGGTTGAAACCACCGCGGGATTCTTATATTTCTGTTGCAGGTCAGTCAGGTGCCATTTATTCTGCCAGTGCTCTCTAGCTGGTTACTAAGCGGGCAGTGTGGTCGGAAAATCACCCACACAATTTGGCGCCGTCTGTGGGAAAGAAAAAAGAATAAATGGCCAACGACGGACAGAAGGATCAGACTGGAGACAACGTTCTTACTGGGAATAGGAGATCTATCAACCTCGACGTTGAAGGGGACAATAGCAACACAGAAACTCGTGACCAGAGTCACGGAGTGAAAGAAGCCGGTCAGGAAGGTGACGCACCAAAGACGACAGATCGAAGCAACGGAGATGACCTCCAGGTATGGAAGGATAGATACCTGCGGAGGAACGAAGACCCTTCCAGAAGGGATGCAAAGACAGGGAGCATGGGCGCTCCCAAGGAAACAACATTCAAGTATAGAAGAACCCATCTTGAGTGAGCAGATCTCAGATTCCAGATCCTGGATCCCGGATCCGAGAAGACATGATCTCAGCCTAGACAAGTAGGCCCGAGAAGATGAGAGCTCAACCTGAGTGAGCAAGATAAGATCTCGGCACCTGAATCCGAGAAGAGAAGAGCACAATGAGCAGATCTCAGATCGCAGAAGATAAAAAGAAAAACACACAAGATCAGACTAAAGTTGGCCAGAATTGAGAAGTATGCTAGGGCCAAGGAGGATATGCCGGGAACAAAGGCATCGGAACAAGAAAAGAGAAACGGCTCGCCGATGCGAGGCCGAAAATCAAACTCAGGTTGGAGCCAAGTAAGATCAATAGAGAAACCAAGGCCGACAACCTCGGCTTGAATTCGACTTCGACGACAAGGTCGAAACTACATGTATGATGAGAACCCAAGTGGATTTTAAGTTCACATTGGGGGCGCAAAGAAGAATGCGTTTACCGCTTGTTGAAATTTGTGGACAATTTACAAGTTGGTTAAACGGAGATAATGCTTAACCGAAATTAAGCCGAAGATGATGTTTAATCGAAGTTAAACCGAGATGATGCTTAACCGAAGTTAAGCCGAAGATGATGTTTAACCAAAGTTAAACCAAGATGATGCTTAATCGAAGTTAAGCCGAAGATGATGTTTAACCGAAGTTAAATCAAGATGATGTTTAACCGAAGTTAAGCCGAAGATGATGTTTAACCGAAGTTAAACCCAGATGATGCTTAACCGAAGTTAAGCCGAAGATGATGTTTAACCGAAGATAAGCCGAGATAATGCTTAACCGAAGTCAAGCAGAAGATGATGTTTAACCGAAGTTAAACCGAGATGATGCTTAACCGAAGTTAAGTGGAAGATGATGTTTAACTGAAGTTAAACCGAGATGAGGCTTAACCGAAGTTAAGCGGAAGATGATGTTTAACCGAAGTTAAACCCAGATGATGCTTAACCGAAGTTAAGCCGAAGATGATGTTTAACCGAAGTTAAACCGAGATGATGCTTAACCGAAGTTAAGCCGAAGATGATGTTTAACCGAAGTTAAACCGAGATGATGTGTAACCGAAGTTAAGCCGAAGATGATGTTTAACCGAAGATAAGCCGAGATAATGCTTAACCGAAGTTAAGTCGAAGATGATGTTTAACCGAAGTTAAGTCGAAGATGATGTTTAACCGAAGTTAAACCGAGATGATGCTTAACCGAAGTTAAGCCGAAGATGATGTTTAACCAAAGTTAAACCGAGATGATGCTTAACTGAAGTTAAGCCGAAGATGATGTTTAATCGAAGTTAAACCGAGATGATGCTTAACCGAAGTTAAGCCGAAGATGATGTTTAACTAAATTTAAAGTGAGATTATTCCTTATCTTCACTTGTTGAAATTTGTAGCAATTTACAAGTTGAAGTTAAGCTGAGCTGGTTCCTTATCTTCACTTGTTGAAATTTGTAGTAATTTACAAGTTGAAGTTAAGCTGGGGTTATTCCTTAATTCACTTGTTGAAATTTGTAGCAATTTACAAGTTGGAGTTAAGCTGGTTCCTTATCTTCACTTGTTGAAATTTGTAGCA